GTGGGACACTCTTGTGGGACACTCTTGTAGGATACTCTTGTGGGACACTCTTGTAGGACACTCTTGTGGGACACTCTTGTGGGACACTCTTGTGGGACACTCTTGTAGGACACTCTTGTGGGATACTTCTGTAGGACACTTTTAAGGGACACTCTTGTGAGACACTCTAGTGGGACACTGTTGCGGGACACTCTTGTGCAACTCTCTTCCAGCTCCCCAGATACTCCGCGTACTAAAGTTGTACTACAAGGTCGCCAGTTCTCAGCGTCCAGCTCCCCAGATACTCCGCGTACTACAGTTGTACAACAAGGTCGCCAGTTCTCAGCTTCCAGCTCCACAGATTGCTCCGCGTACTAAAGTTGTACTACCAAGTCACCAGTTCTCATCTTCCAGCTTGCCAGATACCCCGCGTACTAAAGTTGTACTACAAAGTCGCCAGTGCTCGCTTGCATTTCGCGCGCTCGACGCGCACGATCTACGCAGAGGGTTGTGCGGGCACCGGACAAATCGCACTCTCGCCTGCATTTCGCGCAGCCACGAAATGTCACCTCCCTCACACCTCGCAGCCTCACGATTCCCTGCGCCTGCCACGAGAATCGCACTTCCACGCTTCAAAGCCCGCACGAAGTCCTGCGCCTGCCACGAAAAGTGACAATATCGTCGCATGTGAGCTTCAACAAAATTTGCACCACACCACACGTTTGGAATGATTTCGACCCGTTCAGAGCACACTCCCATCCTCCAAAATCGCCATTTCAGCTGAGACTTGTCACGAAAACAGAGCTTCGATGCCACACCCTGAATCGCAAATCCCAATGGCACAGCCACATCCAACACCCCAAAAACACGACTCTCCAAACGCTGATCCCAATGGCACTGCGCAGCAAACTGCGGATCTCACAAAACGCTGCGCCTGTGCAGCGAAATGCATCACGTTTCTTGCTCGACATGTCGGTGTCATGCAAATCACAATGGAATAGCGGCGCAAACTGACACGTGACACATCCATGCAAAGTCACTTGCAAAAGCTTCCCCCAATGGCAGCAAATTTGAGACGCGACGACGACGAGAGACGACGACAAACGACGAGAGACGACGAGAGACGACGACACGACGCAAGCCATGCAAACACAGGTCCAACCCCCAGACCCCCCAACTATAAACGGGAACCCTTCGCTACGCATTCGGGAAAAACAATCAAAGGTTGGTAGGCAAAGCCCCAACACCAGTAACAGCTCACACAAAAAGCTCTTGCAATGAAAGAACCACAACAAATGAAACCGCAGGCAAACACAGCAAACATACACACTGCAGTGGGCTACCTTAGAAACTTTGGGCTGCACACATGTTTAGATCCATGCATGTCAAAATACAGTGAAACCAACACGGATCAAGCTGCAACGTTGCTGGCAAGGTATTTGATTCATCGCCATCAAGAACGAAACCGTGTAGTGTTTTCGCTTCAATGCGTGCGATGGCCTACTTAGGGTTACGTCCATAAAAACTCTGTGCTAAAGCAAATCCGCCAAGTGTCATCGATGTCCAAATCCGCTGCAGCTTTCTTTCGTGCACGGGTCGCTGCTTGCTCCTGCTATGTAGTTGGTCTGCTCAGGTCCCAAAGGCTTAGATAAGAAACTCTGGCAGGACGCTTCCATCAAGCCAAGCAACATGGGTTGTACATCTTCCCGTAGCATTCAATTACCTTCCCGATAAACCCAGAATTCGCTGCGCGTGCTAATGCAAATCCAAACAGCTCCGCTACTCAAGCTTGTATGCTATGCCGGCTCAAGCTCAAGTAAGCTCCTCCTGCCTTTGCTTCTCCCTGCCACGCCCAATGATTCCGTGCAATCAGTGGGTGGAATATCACCACTTTTGCCCCTGATTTCAGGCAGTTCTACGTTGTCACTAGATTCACTAGACAATCATATCAAGACAGCAGAGTTTCCCAATGGTCCATTCCCGATCGCAACCATTGCGCACCGATACATGTTGCTGATCTTACGTTGCTTCTGCTCCAACTTCTGGACCATTGATTCCTGACGGAGTGGAGGAATGCTCCGAATATGCTATTGCTCCACCATTGATGGGTGGCTTGCTGTGGCTTTGTTGGGTCATCCACATTTGCATTATAGTTAATTAACTAGTTAATTACTATACTCCTTTGATATCCTTTGCATTTATTGTATCAGACATCTGACTTTTTGACAGCCCAACGGAAAAGGCCTTCGTCACTGTCTTCCGTTCTTGCCCCCCACGGCACCTGCTTCTGTGTGAGGCTCAAGGCACGAACCTTCTCCAGGTCCAACTTCCCATTGGCCTCGGGGCGAGGCGGTGCCGTGGTGAGGTCAACCCTTCAGGCTTGTTTGTTTCGGTCATGCTAAGCAACCGCAGCAGTTGTTTCTATGGCAAGTCGAAGTCGGCAACTACTGTTGGTACCGATATTGATCGCCAACATACGTCTAATATGCGATAAGGGTACCATGACGTTCAGTCAGGGAAGTAAAGCGCATGGTAGGATCAAGACCATAGCAGCTCAATAGCAGTATCAAAGATCAACAAGCATCTGGGATTCACCAAATTTACTTCATGATTACATATGATTACAATCTATTCAAATAATACTATCCTTGAGCAAATGAGCCTCGCTTCTCTTCTTGTCAGAGTGGAGTCATGCAGTCTCAACCCTCTCTTTGGTGTCCACGTCGCATCCATTAGCTGCTTGGCATCATCGTGGAGCTCCTCAAGTCCGGTGGCCCAAATGGAATCAATGAGCTCGCTAGCCCGGTACTGCGCTGCACATGTCGTGAATGTGACCCCTCCTCCATAGGGACCTCTGCAGCATCCTCCCCCATGCCCCAATTCACCTGGACGAAGAAGATGCCGAAGTCGAAAGACTGTCAATGTGCTTTTCGATTGTCATGACTGTGGGGTATGGCAACAGTCGAAGTATGGTGCCGTCAAACAAGAAGTGCTAAGAGTGAGGGAACTCAAGCTTGCAACTTCATGTAGCTTCAACAATAGCTTCTCGCTTGCTTGCTTTCTGGGGGCTTTGGAATCTTCTTGCTTTGGCCTTCAAGGCACTGTTGAAAATGCAATACCCTGTCTACGGAAACATGCTGAACCACCAGCGAGCGACGAAATAAGATCGAAGCCTCCCGCCTGGTGGATTTTCGCGCGATCCGCATCCTCCTGCACCTTGCGTTGCTGCAACTTCTTCTCGGCCTCACTGGCTGAGGGACCTAAATTCAAGGTATGCCTGAGAAACAAGAAAAATGAACAAGATCCCGACTGCTGTTTTCATGCATGCTTCTGCTAACTTTCTGACGTAGTGCCAAGGAACTAAACTCATTTGCTTCCCCAACGTTGGAGGATTCTTGGTGAGCCTAGTTGAAGAAGAACGAACCTCTTTGTTCCCTCCTCTCATGTCCACCCGGAATGAGCCATCGACCAAGAAGGATAGTGTTGCCTTTGTTTAGCACACTTGGGTACCCTTGGTTTTCTCCGTCCGGAATCGCAAGAACTAGGAATCCCTCACCACGATTGCTCAATCCCAAGTGACTGACCCTGGTTTGGTTAGTGACTCTCCATCCTTTCATTTTCCTAAACATGATATCGCTCTTCTGTCAACTATGTGCTGATACTTCAGAGCTTCCTTCCAACCGATCTTCCGATCTCCCACAAAACTCGAGGTTCTAGCGTAAATGGTCCAACCATGTCCAACCCGAGCCACCTTTTTTGGAGCGTCCTTGCACCTAGTAGTAAGGCCAG